TATGTATATGTATATGTATATGATATATAATATGTATGTATATTTATATATACATACATATATATATATATATCCATGGATGGACCCGGTTCTGGTCCTCACCTCTCTTGCCTTCTTGGCAGGCCGTTCGTATGACCCAAAGCTGAAATCATGGAGCTCCTCTGCTCCGTAACAAGAAGAACGAAAAGCTTCTCACTTCGGGCATCGGGGCAGAAGAAGAGAGTGAAGGAGAAACTCGCAGCCCCCTCCGTGCAAGCCCATCAAGTCCTTAAGCATGACTTCGGGAGGCCGTAAGCGGACAGGACTCTGGTGGGAACATGATGTTGGGGAGCACGATGGGCACCCTTGGACCCTTCAGAACGGCTTCGAACGTCACACCAAAAAGGCCCCCGACGAGAAGAGTGGCCCTGCCAGGACTTCAGCGACTTCGAGCGATCTCGAGACAAGTATGAGCAAATGACTGTAGAAATGAAGTTCTCTTCGAACACCCAATCAAGCATCAGATCACAAGAAGTCTGTCTCTAGCGAGACATCGAGAGCTCCTGAATCTCTGAGAAGACATAAAGCCGCAGCTGTACGAAGTGCAAACCTAACCTGGGCATTTCAATCCTTGCTCCTGTTTTTGCAATACCAGGTTCAGAAAAATGCCGCCGTGCTGAGAACTAGTCCAAGAGTCCAAAACATCAAACACCATAACACTGGCATCGCTCAACCACAACACAGAGTTTCAATCTGTAATTCCACAGCGGGTCAGATTTAAGGGTTCCGGGAGAGCCTAGAGACTTGCTGCTAGTCTTGCGTTTGAGAGTGAAAAGATGTCGGCAGGTTCAAAAAGGCACAACGAAACCATCGGCAGATGATGTGTGTCTGCAGCTGTTATCGGAAGTCATGAGTCCTGCGGACACGGCCGGAAGTGGAGCAACTTGTCACCCGCACTTCCCAAACATCAGCTCCGTGAAGAGGGCAGAGTGCGTAGGAGCAGACTTTTGTCTGCACTCGTATGTGCTCTGCCACTGTTGCAGCCTAGCCCGGTATGTTTCTTTGATTCTGTAAATCTCTCCCTGAAGACCGCGTCCTTAAACCCTAAGCCCTAAGCCCTAAACCCTAAACCCTAAACCCTAAAGCCTAAGCCCTAAACCCTAAACCCTAAAGCCTAAGCCCTAAACCCTGAACCCCAAAGCCTAAGCCCTAAACCCTAAACCCTAACCTCCAAGCGCCTTGAGGCAAGCAGGCTGCAGCATCGTGCAGGCGACTCGGGTCGAGGAGTTGATGGAGCTGGCCATTGAGGTGAGGATTTAGGGGTCCCTTTAAAGGGTCTATATGGGGTACCATAAGGGTACTATAAGCGAGTTTAGGGGTTTAGGGGTTTTAGGGGTTTTAGGGGTTTTAGGGGTTTAGGGGTTTAGTTTTGTACCCAAAACCCTAGACCCTAAACCCTAAACCCTAACGAAAAGGGCCTTAACAAAAAATAAGCCCTAAACCCAAAGCCCTAAACCATAAACCCTAAACCCTAAACCTCTACCCTAAACACCCAAACCCTAAACCCTAAGCCGAAAATGGGCAAGATGGGCAGGCTCCTGATGTGAAGCCCCCAAAGCGGAGTCGAGCTCGCTACTTCTACGGTGCTGCAGGCGCGAGTGAAGATGGTTTCTGTGGGTTTGGACATCGTCTTTGAAGCAAAAGAGAATGCTGAAGGCGTCATCGTGTTTGTCATTTTTCTGCTCGTGGCAATTATCGCCTGACACCTACAGCGCAGTCAGTCTGCTGTAGACACCGTTGCCAACCGGGCACCATGTCGCTTCTTCAATTTACTCTGTCCTTTCATTCTTTCAGACTGGCCCTAAACCCTAAACCCTAAACCCTAAACCCTAAAGCCGAGTCAGACTGAGGTTCTGGAGGTGTCGCAATCATCTCAAGGTTGGGAGGCCCCGGGACCTTGGCAGATAAGGCAGCCGTCTGAAGACCCCGTGGCCTTTTGACCAGGTGGGAACATGCAGCATGACGCTTTTCCACAACCAGACCTGCTTTCAGGCTTTCGCTATGCACGTTGTGTATTCTTTGGCAGTCAGCTTCAACGAGACTTCCTCGCATTTCTCCGCCAGAGTCTGTTCGGCTGTGGGTTCAGAGATGTGTGACCATGCTCATTTACTCGCCTTGCGTCGTACGCGTCCATGATCTCTCTTTATATGCCTGCCGAAGTGTGAGATTTATTTATCAACTTGGTGTCACCAGTGTGTATTGCGATGCTCAATCAGCATGGCCGCTCGCTAGTTCATATAGTCAGTTGACCAGCCTTAGGATTGCACGCGTTATGCTCATGAGCTACGCGCATCACGGTGTTTTGGCTTCAATGGTCATACTCTGGTCAATCGTCACCTTGGTTGTACGGCTTGATTGTGATTGTACCCATTGGATCTAGCCGGTCAATATATCATTGTACTCACGTTGCTTCCCATGTTCGCCTCTTCACTACGTTCTGCGCGTATTTTGCTATTACGATGAAGCTGATGTTCATGGATGGTGCTTGCATTCGCCATTGAATGCTTGTGATAAATCTTCGTTCTTCGGGGTTGATTGTTGAATGATGGTTACATTGCTTTCGCAGCCATCTGCCTTTCCATTAGACTTTCTGTGGGTTGCTTCCTGCCGTTGTGTATTAGGATAACCGTATTGGTTAATTTTGGATTTGAATATGGCTCTTCTTCCTCGTGCTCGTCCTTTTTTTCTCTCTGTGGTTGTTGTTGGCAGTCGTGCCTTTGTGAGCTGCCGATCAGGTTGCACTTTCTGGGTTTGGGGAGGAACCCCAATGTTTTCTCAACGCGCAGCCTCCTTGTTGTTCTTCTTTTCTTGCTGTCAGGCGTGTCTTGATTTTACGTATGGCTTCGGTGCTTTCGTGTGTCGGCTGCCTTTATTCTCAAATTGCCACTTGGTAATTCCTAGCAATCATGTTACAATGGTGCTGAACGCTTGAATTCTGAAGCTATCCAGTGGCTGAGGATCTTATTGGGTCTGCTTTGCGGTCAGGGGATAACATGGTGCTCCTGCAGGCCTTGTCGTGATGTTTTCATGCAGCATCATGCCTGCAGTGCAGCCTAAACCCTAAACCCTAAACCCTAAAACCTAAAGCCTGCAGTGCAGTTGCAAAGGTCGTCCTAGTTTGTCAGTCGCCCATCCCGAAGGCGGTTTACCCGCACCCCAAGACCCGACGAACAAGAATAGTCACGGAACCCTATAGGCCCAAGCCCGAATCCTTGAGACATGGATTCTGTGAGAGAGATGGCAGAAGCTGAGCTGCAGCTTCCTTTCTTGAGCCATGTCTGGCAATGTGCCCAGACCCCTCTGGAGCGGCGTGGTGATTTCTTCCCGGGCTGGGCCGTTGAACTGAATGCTTTCGCCCCAGGCCGGCAGGAAGAGAATGGACATAAGCATGACAGACAAAAGAGCGAAGGAATGTCTAAACGGACACTTGCCGCACCTTTGCGGTTGTTAGTGCAGAGCAGGACATCATAGACTGACATGACAAAATCTGAAGCTTGTGGGTGGAGCCGCTCCACGGTCAAGTGTCGACTCCCCTAGTGGAGAGGCGATGTGGTTTTCCTCGACGCTGGTTCCACTGCTGGACACCACCATGCGGTCGTAGTCTCTCGTCCGGAGGAGCCTGGTGCCTTGGCTGTAGGTCTACCGCTCCCTGCTTGCAGCCTTGCCTAGGGGCACCGACTAACCTAGACCTATTCAGTGGTGCGGCAAAGACTTTCTGGCAGCTGTGTCCAGGTGTGATTTGCTCTGCCCTGCAGCACGACGAGCTGGTCGTCAGCTTATCAAGGCGTACCTCCATGCCGCAGCAGCTCGCTCCACACATCAGCAGAGTTCCTTTCAAGATCCTCTTGAACATGTAGCATGTTCCAGGGCAATTCAGTCGCGTCGGGTGGTCGTCTGCTTGAAGGCTCTGGTACTTACCGGTGGTTGTTTCGTAGTTCTAGATTCGAGGCACCAGCCAGCCCAACTTATCGCTACCGGAGTCCCTTGGAACAAGGCAGAACCGTAAAGTTGCTCTTCAGATTGATGGCCTGCTGGTTCATGTGCCGTGTCGACGTCTTGTTCGTGTCGTACCCCCACGGCGTGTGCTGGTTGTCCACGACACTTTCAGCTACCGGCGGCTGGCGCGAACTCAAGTGGGACAGGCGGGGCTCCCTCAAATCTCTGCGCTCTGCAGCCAGGTAGGTTTGTTTTACTTTGGGTGTAGGGTTCCCGTGACAGGATGATGGAGTGGTGGAGTTAGGCTCCTCGCTTGGGGAGCCTCGTCCGAAGCAGCAGAGGCTTCATTGGTGATATGGAACATACGTGTTTAGACTGTAAACGCAAGAGTGTCTGCTGCAGCTCTGAGGAGTGCACCCACATCCTGTCTTCTCGTGCTGCCGCGGTGATCGGCATCGATGTCAGTCAAGAACTGGTGGAGGAAGTCGATACCGTTAGCCCTGTGCCCCTAGAGAAATCACCATGCAGTAGTTCTTCCCAGAGGCTTTGTCACGTAAGCTGCGAGGAGAGCAGTCGCCGCTATCCCGACTGTCGTTTTGAATGGCTGGACTGCTTCCAAGAGCAAGCACGTTTCGCAGCATTGTGCAAGGAGTCGCTTGAATCGTTGGACTTACGGGACCACGTTTCTTTCTCTCTGAGGGCCATCTAGGGTTCTGTTTCACATGGCATTCGCACGGCGGTTTCTGTGAGGCTTCTGGCAGCAGGTAGTGGCAGGCTGAAGATCTTCGTGGACATTGGTGGCGACCGGACCACGAGCGACATTTGCTGCCTGCTGGCTCTTTTGGAGAAGACGCTGAAGACTCTCCAGCCCAAACCGCCGCCCTTGCCCGCCTTGGTGGTGGTGAAGTCCAAGGCCCTGGCCACGGCCGCGGCCGAGGCCGCGGGCGCCGACGGGACCATCCCGGAGCCAGGGTTGCGGCCCTGGCTCGAAGGTATCGCCAGGAAGCAGCCGGGGAGCTCCAAGCAGCTGAAGAACCCTACCTTTGGTTAGTAGGGAATGGAAGAATGGTAGTAATGGTACTTATAATAGTTCCCATTCCTCCATTCCCTACTAACCAAGAGTAAGGAAGAAGCTGGCGCGGGCTCGCAAGGCGCAGTGGCAGCAGGCGGACGATACCGCCTGGCAGGACCCGATGGCGAGCTCTTTTGCACTTGCTGCGGTTCGCATGGAGGTGCCTCCTCCCGTGTTTTCGCTGCCCGGGAGGCTTTCGAGAAGCAGCGGATCCAATGGGACGCCCTCTGCAACGAGGACCTCTCCGAGCTGTAAAGGGGAGGGAAGGGAGGAAGGGAGGCCGCATGGGTAGGGAGATCGAAGGTTGCAGAGCAAGTCCAGGCGGCGCTGGAAGGCTGTGGCACAGCCGGGTTGGCAAAGCCTGACATGCGGACTGTTGCCTTTGCGAAGCTACCTGGGGAGAAGTGTGAGATGGGAGGAGCAAGCGCACCTGAAAAGCGAGCTCCGCAAGCTGAAGCAGGAACATCCCGAGGCCTTCTCTGCTTTTGAATGGCGCTTTTTTCGGTTGATGTTTCGCTGACTCTGACTTTGGAGGCATGGGGTGAGACGCTGAATACTTTCCTCACAGAGCGGCTGGGAACGAGCAAGAAAAAGGGATGTGATGTGCTCTCATATGCTCTGAGTGTGGCGCTTTTTAGCCTCCCACAGCCCACCCTCTTTTGCCAAAGCTCTCTGCAGGAGATGGGGAGATGTCTCGTGGAAGTGGGGGCCTCCGATTTTTGGGGCTCCGCGGCTCCAGGCTTTCTTCCTTCGGCCCTGAAAGGTGGCCGTGCGCAGTGGGACCTTGCCGGGGGTCTCAGAGCGCACTCAGCGGATCTCTGTAGAGAAACGGCTCCAGAAAAATTGAAAGCTGAGTTTTGGCTCGAAGAACCCATGGGCTTTGCCCATCGCCTTTGCCTGAGTCGCCTCCGCGTGCCGCACGACTCTGTGACCAGGCGGTATTCTTCCCATTTCTTCAGGGGCTCCTCCCGAGGTCCATGTCGGAGGTCGTGGAGAAATTGCCCGGTACCAAGGCATGTGGATCCAGAGTCTTGATCAATAAACCCACTGAAATCACCGGCGCCTTGGGCTTTCGCTGGTACCCGTAGCTTCGAAGCCCTGCGTATCTACATGCAGCCCTGAGAAACCTGCGAAGCCTCCCCAAATGCTACGCTCCAATCCTTGGAGGAGACCCCTTCCGTTGCTGCAACGACATGGAGGCATCGCTGGTGTCCAGATCCCCTCTAAGTCTTCTAGCCAGAAGGCTGCCAGGAAGGGTTGTTGGCAATCCGATAGCGCCGGCATGACGTGGTAAGCCACGAAAGCACGTGCTAGCATTTGTGCTCGTTTGTGCTTCGCCCGATGCTCCAACATGATCGACTTAAGAAAAATCCTCAGACAACAGCATCGGGTCATCAAAGTGCTCAGAACTTGGTTGACAGGGCTATGTGGGCAGCTGCTGTGATCTCGTGGCTGGCGGTGTCAGCGCGCTCACTGCTCAGTCGGCTGTTGGGGCTACGAGGAACAGGTCCCGTACTAAGGGTGCAGGAGCAGGCAGGAGCAAAGGCCAGCCAGAGCTTCTGACTGTGCTCGAGGAAGCTTCATGGTTGTTCAAGGTTGCCCACTTGTAGCCGCATGGTCATATTATATTATATTATAATATAGTATAGTATAGTATATTATATTATTATATTTTGTGCCATGGATGATGATCTTCTTCGTTGCCCCTTCGGGGCAGTGCTATTCACAACTCCCAAAGCCCTGCTGGCCTTCAGAAAGCGCCAGATCCATGAATGCCATGGACAGGCTATTGAAATAAAGAGATGACGCCTCGACGCATGGCAAGAGAGATCAACGGCCAGATAGTCCCAGAAAGCTGCCATAGCGACCTGCAAACAGGAGGTATGCATGGTCACATTTCATTGTAGTCACTGTAGTCAGGATAACGCTGCCAGACAAAGCTGCGCAACTCAACTTGTACCCCTGCATATGTTTATGCAGTTTTCACGCAGCAGCAACAATGCTCATGTGGTTTTTGCATTGAGACGAAGCCGGGCGCCGGCTGCACCAGCTACAATTTCTCGCTGTCCCAAACGACTCCATTCTGTCGTCGAGTCCAGCACGGAAGTTGTACGTGTCCCCCCCTCTTTGGGCTCACCGTTTCTTAGCCCAGATGGGGCTGCAATGGCACAAAATATAAGATAATATACTATAATATACAAATATAATATAATATAATATAATATAATATAACATAACATAACATAACATAACATAACATAACATAACATAATATAATATAATATAATATAATATATATTATAATATATTATATAATATAAGACAAGGGCACCTGAAAGATCCAAGTCGTCCTCCCCAGGCAGCTGGCAGAGCCGGAGCCCCAGCCGATCTCTTTCGCTTCCACGACCCCTAAACCCTAAGCCACCACTATTCCCAACTATGATTACTTGCTGCTGTCGTTGTCAAAGTGGCAGTCGCAGTAGTGGTGGTCGTCGTCATCGTCGTGATGGACCTGTATTGGGGAGCCTTCCTCCGTTAAGCTTGCCCCGAGTCCGAATGTCGAAGCCGTGGCTCAGGACTTTCTGTGATTCCTGGGGCATACTGGGCCGCACCGATCACATGGGTGAAACGCGCCTTGCTTCAGTGTTTGTCCGAAGCTAGAAGCAACATTGCAAAACCCAGCTTGGGTTTAGCGGCTCACAGCATACATAGAAGCCTATCTGTTCACTTTGTTATGTAGAAACCTTGGACCATATATACATATATATGCCTTTATATATATGTATATGCATATATATATGCATATATATACATATATATATATATTATATATATGCTCATATATATATATATGTGTGTATGTGATAGATGCGTATAGGTGTGCGTATATATAACTCTATCAATGCTTGCAGCTGGACAGTATATGTATATTGATATCTAAGTCCGATACCGGCAGGGTCTTTTTGCCTATCATTTGATATGTACAACATCACATGCCTAGTCAGTTCACATATATATATATATGTATGTATGTATGTATGTATGTATGTATGTCTGTATGTATGTCGGTAGGTAGGTAGGTAGGTAGGTAGGTAGGTAGGTAGGTAGTTAGGTATGCATGTATGTATGGATATGTCTGTGTATGTGTATGTCTATGTGTATGTACATATGCATATATGTATATATATA